TTCTCGCCCCACAACCACCCCAAGCTGCAGCAGCTCTGGCTGAAGGCTCACTACGTGGAAGCCGAGAAGCTGCGAGGCAGACCCTTGGGAGCCGTTGGCAAATACCGCGTCCGCCGAAAATTCCCTTTGCCCCGCACCATCTGGGACGGCGAGGAAACCAGTTACTGCTTCAAGGAGAAATCCCGGGGCGTGCTGCGGGAATGGTATGCCCACAACCCTTACCCGTCCCCCCGGGAGAAGCGGGAACTGGCCGAAGCCACCGGCCTCACCACTACCCAGGTCAGCAACTGGTTCAAGAACCGGAGGCAGCGGGACCGAGCGGCGGAGGCGAAAGAAAGGTAATTGTCACCCCCAAATCCTCCCCGTACCTTCTTTTCTCCCCGCTCCCCCTGTGCGGGAGCAGGGGGCGCGGATGTGATCCCTCCCAGTCCCATTTTTCCTGAACCGCCTTCCATTTCGCCCCCGCCCTCGCTCCGTGGAAACCCAAGTGGCTTTTCCACCCGAGATCGTCCCGATCCCACCTGCCCAGGGGGGACGACACAGCGAGCCCCTCACCGTCCACTCCAGGCCCCTCTGCCGCCTTTGTTTGCTGCCCGCCGCCCCGGCAGCGATGCGATGCCGGAGCCTCCGGGGAAGCGGTCGGGATGCCGGGGCCGGTATTCTCGGGGATCGGCCACTGTAGCTCAGAATCCCGGAGGAAGGGAGAGATGGAGGCCCGGAATGGAGAAGGGAGGATCCAGAGGGCGACCGGCATGGGGACGAGCTGGCCGGGCAGTCGTCACTCCGTACCGAGGTCATCCCGGGCCGGCTCGGGGTGGCCTCGGTACGGTCGACGGCTCTGCCCGGCGAAGCAGCCACGGAGGACATCGCGCCACTTTTTATCTTTTATCTCCTCTAAAAGCCTCCCTACCGAGCCTTCTAGAGAAAATCCTGCACCCTGCTCGTTCCCGGGCGGCGCTTTCATTTTTAAATAAAAAGAGAAAAAGCGCCCCCCTCTCCCACCTCCCCACATCAAAAAAAATATAACTCCCCCTCTTCTCCAACTTTTCCTCTTCACCACAATTACCGGGCTAAACGGGTAAAAAAAAAAAAAAGCAAGGTGAAAAGAAATGTGGACGATCCGTTATGAAAATATTAGGTGGTGGAGAAAACATTTGTTTGTTTGTTTGCGGGGGTTTTGTGGGGTTTTTGGGTTGTTGGTTGGTTGGTTGTTTTGTTGGTTTTTGTTTCGGGGAGAGGCATCTGCTTCCACGATGAAATAAAACGCAGAGGATTAACGGGGGGCATTAGCACAGCGCCCATTCCCGGCGCCTCCCACCCACCATCCCCGTTGTGGGGTTTGTTTTTTTTCTTTTTTTTTTTTTTTGTTCCTTTTTGCCTTTCCGCAGGGAGAACACGGAAAACAACAACGCGGCCACCAACAAACCCAACCAACTCTCGCCTCTGGATGGGAGCAAACCCCTCATGTCCAGCTCCGAGGAGGAATTTTCTCCTCCCCAAAGCCCGGATCAGAACTCAGTCCTGCTCTTGCAGGGGAACCTCAGCCACGCCAGGAGCTCCGGCTACTCCCTAGGCGGCTTGGCCACATCCCAGACCCCTCACAGCCTCCAAGGCCACCAGCTCCAGGACTCGCTGCTGGGACCCCTCACGTCCAGCCTGGTGGATCTGGGGTCCTAAAGGCCCGCGGTAGGAGGAGCGGGAGCGGAGGTTTCGCTCGGGGACAGAGGCTCTGGGGTTGTACATAAAGGACTGCACCCGGTTTTACAGCTCGCCCGCTGATTTCCTGACGGGACTTTCGGCTCTTTCACACAACCCCGCATCGGCTCCTGGTCCAGTTCCCTCCTGGCGTCTCCCACTATCACCATGATTTTTATTTTAACCTTTTTTTTCCACGTAGCCAAACGCAGAGACCGGCAGAAACTCTCAGCCCTTCGAGTTCAAGCGAGCTGGTCCCAGCGGGAATTACAAAAAAACAAAAACAGAAAGAAAAAAACCCAAAAACCAACACAAACCCCAATACCCAAGCCCAGCTGGATCCGAATAAAAACCCCAAACAAATCCCGCGGTGGGGCAGGGGCGGCCGGCGCATCCCTGCGGCCGGGACCCCGCAGGGGCGGCGAGGAGCTGGGCCGAAGGCAGCGTGAGTGACCCGCTGCGATGGGGAGGGAGGAGGGAACGTTACGTTTACATTTTTCATATTTAGCCTTACCACAAAGATTTCGATGTAGTTTAAATTTAAAAAAAAAGTGGGGGGGGGAAGGCGAAAGCTGCAATATTGAAGGTTTAACAAGTGCCTGTGTCGTATCGCGGCTGTGCGAGGCGGAGGGCGAGCTCCCCAGCTTCCTTCTTCTCGGTGGTGAAATGCATCGATGCGGCTAAAAATTAGGAGAATAATAATAATAATAATAATAATAATAAAAGCGGCGGGCTGTTTCCTCCGGATCGAGCATTTCCCCAGGCTGCCCCGCCGACTCCGCTGCCTCCTCCCGCCCGTCCCCGCTCGCTGCCTTCTTCCCCCGGACCGCAGAACCGCGGACACCGCTCTCTGCCTCCAGGATTTCTTACCGACATCTGCATGTGCTTTCAGGTTTATTTTCTATTGTACCTAAACAGCCTAAATTAAACACCGCTGATGGCCGAACACCCAGGCTGCGCTTTTCTTTGCAGGGGCTAACCCGTGCCCCTCTGCCTGCCCTTACCTCAC